AGGAGAAGTTTTTTCTTTCTGTTCTCTAATGTACCACCTTCATTTAGTCAATCCTGAGGCGCTAGTGACACTACACGGTGAAAATTCCTGAACATCCAAAAAGCCCCTAAAAATCTCGACACACCCTTCCAATCCGACCCCTCTCACCTTCGCCATGACCACGACCACAGACAAAGGACACAACTCTGAGGGAAGATTTCCATAAATAGATTCAACCAAGATTCTTCGTCTTTTATTCTGAGGTCTTCATAAAGTGTTTATTTCAAATCGTTTACTATTTCAGGAGAGCCAGGAATCACTGCACAGAAACGCAAGTCGGCGTTCGTTCGCTTCGGAAAGAGATCTATTGACGAGGCTGGGGTGAGTGACTTTTGCATTCGGTGTTCAATCCACCAGAGCCCTAGATCGAGCCTCTCTGCGAATGTTAAAACCACAAAAGATTCCTAGCATTAAAAAAACGCACGTTTACTTAGAACGTATGGAATCCTGTCTGAAGGACCCACCTGAGGGATTGCAAACGTACCGTACCCTTGAATGGCGCTACGTACCGCATTCTCGAATGACGCTGAATAAAGTACTAGTTACATTGCTCGGGAAAATCCCACCCCCTCCTCTAAGTCAATTTCGCCGTGACTATAAAAAGGGCTGGCCTGGTATACTATGCGCCGCTCTCTACTAAAGTCTGGTAGTACTCTTTGCGAGCCAGACTAGTGGGAGGGGTTGTCAAAGGTGCAAACCGCTAAACGCGCGCCACAACCATGCACCCTAACTAAGATTAGCCACTCAAGGCATAGTGCAATAGGGGGACCATATTCGAACCAGCACGGAGACGACAAGCTTAGGCTACGCTTGAGACCTGACCTTAAAGGCAGGGGTCACGATGGGGGAGGGGGCGGCTTCAATGACGTCATTGAGCGTCATTAGTGGACTGAACCACTAGCGCATTGGGGGTGTGGCTTCGCACCGCCGCCGCGCATCGGAACTGCACCGCCGCTATGGTCTAACTGATCACTGCCATCAACCGAATCTAATCCCCTCACTCCAGTTCAGCCAACCAAACCAAAGGGGGGAGGGTTCACTGGGGTTATGTCAAGAGAGTGGGAGAGGGTATATGGATACAAAAGTTATGGTCGAATGAGTGTCGTCTAAATGGTGTATGGCTATTACAGGACAGTCAAACCTACCTCGCCATAAGTGGCTATTATTGTCGCGCGCACCGCAGAGTAAGTCATTGAGCGCACGTGAAATCCCAAATGGCCGATATGCTTAATGCTTTAGCAATTGCCAGTGACAGCCTTAATTCTCCCTGCTTCAGGATGTAGAAAAGAGAAAGTCGGCATTTGTGCGATTCGGTCGTTCGGCACCATTCGATATGCCGGAGAAGAGAAAAAGTCAATACATTCGATTCGGCAGAAAGTAGAGACGTCTCGACGCGACAAAGCAATAAGCGATCAATAGCAATCGATAATTGCTCTGCTACACGCACACATTTGGGTACACGGTAACTAGTCGTGTTTCATTGCTGCTATACGCCTCCTTTTTCCTTCCATCCCAAAAAACTTCATGATGTTTCCATCCGTCTCTTTCTAATTTTCGTCTCATCTTTTGTAAATCACCCACGATGTTTCCCATAGCGGCTTGACAGATTACGGTACATTAATATGATGAGAGAAAAAAGTTGTTGATAAAAAAGAATAAAGTGTTCCTCTCAAACGGATGTGTCATATCAATCAGCATCGGATACAGCCACTCTAAACACGTCTCGTAGCAAAACACATAGCAAAACGGCCACCCAACAGCCTACAGTATACAGCACCCAGCCGTGCGATTAAAAACTTTGCACGAAATTACACAACAAGGAATTAGGTCTGGGGACAAACATGGCGCTCCTCACCAATTGTTCAAGAATCGCCGCATTTTCATTGTCAGATGGAGAAAATTCGGCGCAATGTGGCTCGGGGGGGGCACCACGCAACATCGCGTCAAAATCACGGAAACGCTCCGTTTCAGGACTAAGCTTTTGAAGAGGAGAGGAACTCCGGTGTACGGAAGCAATTTTCGTATTCTCCGGAGTTCGTCCCTGCTGTTTAGGCTTAGTCCTAGAGGACTTTTACAGAGTGCCCCCCGAGCCACATTGCGCCAAAAATTCTACTCAATTTCACGTACTTGTCATCCAAAAATGCCCCAGGTAGGGGCTCGAAGTATTTGTGTTTGTCTAAACAAAAATGGGCGCTATCGCAAGATACGGGGGCATTGTGGTGACAGTGCATTCAAAACCGCGTGAAACATGTCCCTTTTGTAAAAACGGGACTAAGCCTTAGCAGGGGAGGAGAGACTCCAGGGTGCGTGAGCCATTTTCATTTCCTCCGGAGTTCCTGCACACCGTACTTGTTAGGGCTTAATCCTAGAAGATGCCCCCGTATGTTGCGATAGCGCCCAAAAATCTGTTGAAACACGCCCACAAAGAACCAAACAAATCCAATTGGGTTTTTTTTACCAGGCCCTTTCGGAGGGTACAACATACAGCCCCTTACGCCCATTCCAGAGCTGAAGCCCCTTTCCAGCCTCACATCCAAAAGAACGAGAGAAGAGAAAGCGTGCTCAAAAGAAGCAGCCGTGAAAAAGAAAACGGGATCAGGACCGCTTAAAAAAGGCTTTGGATTCTGTAGGAATTCGAGTTTCTGAAACACTCGAACTTCCCAAAAACGGTATTTGTGACACATTTACAGACAGGAGGGTACCCGACAGGAGCCCATCGCGCGGCAACAAGGCAGAGTCAGCGGACGAGTCGCAGCGCGTACTGTAGTGATTTCGCGTCAAGTTAAATAGAACCATTGCACGTCCTACATCGCACATCACGCGCTGCGACTCGTCCGCCGACTCTGCCTTCTTGCCGCGCGGCGGGCCTCCTGTCGGGTACCCCAGACAGGAGAACTCCTCCAAACGCATGGGGAATTTGGCCCTCAGAAGCAAATGGAACAAGTGGCTAATCTCAGCCATTTTTCCCTCCGCTGCAAACCTACAGTGTTCAGTTGCTACCAAGATCATTGCCAATTCTGGTACCACATGGCACACCCCAACCCCGCCCAAAAGTGCTGCTGAAGGAAAGCGAAATAAACCTAATCATTGGAACGGCAAGTGTTACCAAAATTATCAAGTTTTTACTGAATTCTATCAAAGTTTTTTCGAAGTTTTCAAGAATTTTATTCATTTTGAAGAAAAGAACCCTTTTCAACCAGTGCAACTTCCTCCACATGATCTCAGTAATCCCCCCACCCCCCCCTTCCCCAAGTTCATCAGACCCGGCTTGACATATTGGATTGCAACTTTTATTAGTGAAAACACCAGAAAAACAAGTTT